GGACATTCTACTCATCTTGTTATCAACAGTTCCCTCCATCTGACCATATCATTCTACAAATCATCAGCAAGATAGATTGTGCCTCTGTGTGTGTTTGTGTGTATGTGAGTGTGTGTGTGTGTGTGTGTGTGTGTGTGTGTGTATTGAGAGACAAATGGTGAACAAAGGTAGCAGTGGTACTTACTAGACACTATGTTGAAAATGAACTATACAACTTGTGGGTAGGAATGGGAGGAAAAACTTGGGAGGAGAGTGAGGGAAGGGGTGACATTGTCCAAAAAGAAATGTACTCATTACCTGACTAACGTAACTGAAAAAGAAAAGTAATGTACGTTACTTTTAAAATAGCAATACAAATTGAATTAAAAAAATTAAAAATAAGGAAAAGAAAAAGCCCAGAGTTTTAGACATACTACGCAAGCACTCTGTTACCATGATTTTATGAAAGGTAATTCTGAATTTGGGATTATTTCCTATTCTGCTGCAATATTCAATAAATTTTTGAATGACTAAATGATGACGCTGTTAAGTAAGAATGTTATCAAGTAACTCTTTACTCCCATTGGTGGACACAAGAGTTTTTTTTTTCTGGTCTTCTGTGTTCTGCCACTAACCTAGACACTTTTCCTTTCCTTTATCAAAGGAATGGATGGAATCTAGCCATTTGAATTTCTGAGTAAGTTTGGTTTCTGTTCCATCACCTCAGCAGACATGAAGAAACATACAGGTCTCTAAGCATCCACACACAGTGACACCAAAGGAGGATACTCTTAAGAGAGGAACACAAAGGCACAATGCCTATGTGCATCTGAGTATATAAAATAATATTTATCAAAATGAATTCCAGGAAATAGAAACAAGAGGTTTTTCTCCTTGTTGCTGTTTTTGTTTTCTCTTCCTTTGTCTCATTTTTTTCACTTAACTGCCTTTGGGAGGGCAAGGGGGTTGCAGAAATGGAGGAACAAAGGGTGAACAAATACATCAGTGGTGGTCACTAGACACTATGTTGAAAATCAACTCTACAACTTGCGGGAGGGAATGGAAGGGAAAAACTGGGAGAGAGAAAGGGAAGGGGTGACATTGTTCAAAACGAGATGTACTCTTTACCTGACTTATATAACTGTAACCCCTCTGTATATCATCTTTATAATAACAATAAAAGATGCATAAAAGAGAAAAAGATTAAGATTGGAGGGGGAAAAGGAGGAGAATAATGGAAGAAGTGATATTGATTAAGGAGTACTGTACTCATAACTTGACTTACAGAATTGTAATAATAATGATTTTAAAATAATAATTTAAAATAATAATTTAAGAAATATTATTAAAAAAAGAAGCAACCCTACTAGAAGCAGGAGAAGCCTTGCTCATGTTGACCAGATTCAGTGGGGGAGAACATAGCTTAGAGGATGAGTGGACTAGAAGGACATGTAACATATTTCAGCAGCTCAGGTGACTCAATGCATGTCCATTTGACGAACTGATGATGTACTTGTGAAACATTTTTAAAGTTATGTATTCACATTTTAATACTTTACTTCTTTTTAAGGTGTTGGGAATAGAATACAGGGCCACATACAGACTGGGAAAGTACTCTACCACTGAGCCTTCCCCAGCCTTTCCAAAAATTATACACTATAAATTTCAAGTCACAGCAAATATCAAATACATACAGCTCATCAAACTAAGCATATCCAAGTTATTTTCATAGAACATCTACATAAAGTGAAAAATCCCTTTATAGCACTACAAAAGTGTTTTAAGCACCTCACACAAAATATTAAAAGAAGGAAAACAATTACAGCTAGTGGGAGAATAGAGAGAGTTGCCTTCAGTTCAAAACACTGCTTGACTCAGTGCAGATTACCTTTTCTTCCCTTCAAGAATTCATGCAAACAAACGCTACCACATAGGAGGAATTTCTAGCAGGGGAATGCAGCCAGCTTCTGAAAAATTTTCACAAGATGTACATTTCCAACTTGGCCCAGACCCAGAGCTGAGAGGCAGGCAAGGAGAGAAAGAGGGAGAGGGAGAGGGAGACACAGAAACAGAGAGAGGAGAACTTGTATGTTTGGAATATGGAGGGAGGAAGAGAAAGCAAAAGAGGGAGTAAGGAAGAGAGGAGAGAAAGAGGAAGGGAGAGTATAAGAGGTAGAGGGGGGGAGAGAGTTAAAAGAGAGGAAAGATGTAAAAAGGGATAGAGGGCAAAGGAAATGGGGAGGGAGAGGGAGAGAGAGACACCCCAGTGGGAAAGAAAGAGTAGTTTTGCAGTTGCAGTCAAATATTGTACTAAGTCAGATAAACTGTCATAGAAGAAAAAGGCTGCTTCTGACTTAGGTTTTGGCTTTGTGTAAAAATATCACTAATAACCCAAGAAAGCCCGTATGTCCTGTAGCATATTATGTCCTGTTTGGCAAAGCCCTCAAGAGATTTCTGTTTGAATTTTTCTTCTGTTATACTATTTCTTAACCCAAACTTTCCAACGTGGCACTGACAGAAGCAGCTGGGGAATCACAGCTATAGATCCACTCCCAGAGGTGGAATGATTTACTCGAAGTGTTGAAATCTAACTCTGCTACACACAGCTGTGGGATCCCAAGCAAATATGCTCTCTCCTGCAGCCTCAGTTTCCTCTTCTATAAATTACAAAGTGGACTTAGTGGTAGCTAAATGTCCCTCAAGACCTTGAGTTACAGATGGCTAAAGAGAAATGAAGGTGGCAATACTCCTAGACATCATTTTCAGATTAAAAAGACATGCTCATCATCTTATATTTATAGAGTAAGACAAACTCTGCTACAAATTTATTTTGAGTGAGCATGTAGTTGACTTTCTAAAATAATCACAAACCAGCTGGCACTGGTCCTATTCCACTGTTTTGGATAAAGTGAGCCACTCTACGAAAATCCCAGAGCCAAAGTGGTATTACAAAATAAAATGAGACAAAGATGGAAACCAATAGAATTCTTTCTGGTAAGGTAACTTAAGGCTTTCTGAGTCATTTCATTTTCTCATTTCTTTCCTTGTTCTATGTTATCACACTGCCTGAGAAGGAGCACTGTAGAGTTCTTCCTTTTTGAGCTTACAGTATGCATAACCTGTCTTCCTTCCAATTGTATGTCTTGTAGAGTTATTTAGATGCTGACATCAGTTTTCTAGATGCTATATTTTAGCAAATGAACATTTGAAAAACCAGGTAACATTTGTTTATTATAGGACTTTGAAGAATTTTGAATGTATATTTGAATCTCCTTTAAAAAATCTCCTTTTAATACAGTCTCCAGATAACAATGTAAGTCTTCCTCTCTTCTTGTTATACTTTTATTTGCTGTTTTGTGCATAAATATTTGATTCTAATTAGTACATGTGTGTATCTTACATAATACTTTAGTCTTGAATTTATTTTTCCCAATAGTCTGCAACTTAATTAAAAGCTATTATCATTGTATTTCCATTGAATTTCTTCTAGTACTTAACAATATTTTAATACATTCTATTGTTAATAAGCTATGCCACTGCATAATGTTTCCTCCTAGTTTTATTCAATAAAACCATTTCAATTGTCTTAACTGATTTGTCTCTATCACATTAGCCCAATAGGCTTATCACTATTTGCTACCGAAAAGCAAAACATTTCAAGAATTAAAAGTATTTTGTGTGTGTGTGTGTCATGAATACCATCAATACAATAAAAGTAAGGAGAACAGAAAGAGTCATCAGATTTGTCATGTCACTACAAGAAATGTTCTAGGTTGAGTCCCTATAGAGAATCTTTCGTAGATGACAATGAAGTATATCCAAGTAACTCTGAAATGCAATTAGCCAAGTCTGGAAGATTAGTGGTCTATTTTCTTTTTCAAGATTTTTAAGATACTGAAATTCACTCAAAAAGGAATCCTACATTTGTCAGAGATATCAATAGATGAAAGCCCTGGAGTGCTGCCTTCTGGAACCCTGCCCCCTTCTTGGCCCTAGCATTCCTTCCTATACACAGGAACAATAATCTTATAGCTCAGTGGAATTAAGGACAAGCTTAACTCAAGTACATCACTGGGTATCTATACCATGACTTCCTAGAAGAAAAAGGAAGTGAGATTTTAGGAGAGAAGGATGAGCCCTCAGTGAGATGTAGATGGAATTCTGAGCCACAACAGGAAGTGGAGAATCCAAAGGGTTCCTCCAAACAGCATGTACATATATTTAACCACTAGTTGGGCAACCACTTTCTCCCTGTTAGCACGTTTTCTATCTCCACTGATAACAGTTGGAAGCATTGTAGGACACGGGTGCTAGGAAAATCGGCATGTTACAGTTCAATGTGATAGATCTCACTCAACAGGAACAGGGACTTTTCTTTTTAAACATTTTTTAAGTCAGTCATTTTGTTTTCTAGCAAATGAAGGAGAAACATTAATTTATAGGCAAAGGAGTAATGAACTTTTATGATCTGAGAAATGATTGACAATGAGATCCCATAGAAGAAAGTCTTTCCACCCAAACTCAGAAGAAAATAAAAACCCACCATAATTCTTGAGAAGAATAATGTTGATTTTACATCACTAGGCCAAAATTAACATAGTCAACATCAAGCAAATTAGGAACTGTCCAGGGTTTTGGTCCATGTGTTCCAAGATTGATTAGAAATGGAGATGATTTCTTCTCATTAGCTTTACTGAAAACTATGCTAAGAACATTATCTTGCATTCTGTTAAAAAATGATGCGTGCTTGTATTCCCCAAACCCAGGCTGAGGCAGGAGAATAAAAATTCAAGGCCATCTTACTGGGCTACATAGTGAAACTGTTGCAAACAAACAATAAAACAAAACTTAACAAAAGCAGGCGAATTTAAAGTAATTTAAACCTAATAATATTTTTTAATTCTTCAAAACGGTTCAGCAGAATGTCTTTCAGTAGCATACTGATGAGCAGAAACTAATTAAGACATCATGTTCCATAAGTTATAGCCTTTCTTTGCCCAAGCCAGATTTCCCTTGTCTACCTGACATAGAGTGAACGCTTCTGATTGGTTCGCAGGGACCCGGAACCGGAACTCATGCTGTGGTTCATCATCTGCTCTCGTAGGTCATGGATTTTAGCCTCAAATCGAGCGTAATCTGGGAATAAAAACAAAGATGGCGAGTTTAGTCCTATGCCTCCAGAGAATTAGGAGGTCAAGCCAGTTAGTTTCCCTCAGGTTGGCGTCTTCACCAGACACCAAGGGAGGAGGCTCAATTTTAGCTGAGTACATACTTATTATCTCAATTCACAGACTTTCAGCAGAGAAAAAGGACAAATCAGTTCCTCCTCATAAATTACTTAGAACACACAGGTCCATCAGTCCATGGTGGAATACCACAGAGGGGGCAACATGGAAAGGGAAGAAAGAGGTTGTGTTATAAACAGTGTCTTCCTGCTGGTGGGAGTTAGCTCTCTTTTGCCTGTAGTCATTGATATAGATACCTGCATGTGACACAGACACAGACAGACAGACAGATACAATCTCACACATGATCACACACACACACACACACACACAAATACAAGTAAAAAGAAAACCCGAGTTAAGATTGACAGATGTGTGGCAGGGTCAATATCTTGATTATGATACTGTTCTGTAATTTTGAAAAAATAGGGGAAGTTGAATAAAGGACACATAAATTCCTTGAATTATTCATTTACAACTGCATGCGAGGCTATAATAATCTCAAAATTATATTAAAGGAGGAAAAGTCCATAGAATTCCTAATTCCATGGATGTCGAAAAGGGTCTCTAGTTATTCTCAGCCAGGTAAACCAGAGAATCTGATGTTTGGTGACAAATTCTGTAAGAAACACAATTAAACTAGGTCATCCCTCTCCTGGCCTAGGGGCTGCTAGAAGTTGATCACTGGGGATAATACCTCAATTTACAACATAACTTTGTCTACATACCATCAAATTCTAAGATGAAAAATAATTTTAAATTAAATTTTAGAAGGCTGAAACTAAAAAAATAAGTCAAAATTACTCATAGGAAATATATTTTGGAAAAGTTTCAACTTTAGTAATTATCCTTAAAAAATCAAGGAAATATAGGTAAAATATAGGTATTTTATTATGTTAGCCATTAGCAAAATACTTTTTTCATGTCACTCTAATAATAATGTAATAATTGGTTTAAAGATACTATTAACATTATTGTCATGGAAAATTATTATTATTTTTTTTTTTTGGCAGTAGTAGGGTTTGAACTCTGGGCCTGAGCACTGTCCTTCAGCTCTTCAGCTCAAGGCTAGTGCTCTACCACTTGAGCCACAGTACCACTTTCAGTTTTCTGGTGGTTTATTGGAGGTAAGAGTCTCATGGTCTTTCCTGCCGAAGCTGGCTTTGAACCATGATCCTCAGATATCAGCCTCCTGAGTATGTAGGATTATAGGCGTGAACCACTTAAGTTCTTTTTCCTTTAGGAAAATCCAGCAGGTGAGAGACTTAAATGACCCAAAATAACTATGAAAAAATATTTACTCAACTCATAAAGGATTCTTAATCATAAGGAAACACATCATGAAGTATTTTAATTGCAGTTCTCTCTATATTTCACAACCACTTCATTTTTCAGTTCAGCTTATTAACAACTTCTTATGAAAACAAGGATAAGCAAATTGATAATCAACTTAGAAAGTATCAATTTGTTATCATGAAAGTTACTCAAATGATTTTATTTGAATTTATAGTGTTTATTATTTTAAGGTTTGGTACTCATGTTAAACCCTAAAGGGTTTGGTACTCATGTTAAGCCATAAACAACAAAGATATAATAAGCTCTAAATGTCATAGTTAAAGGTTAATGTCTTTACTATAAGGACATAATAGCTGGCTGGCAATTTCAAGTACTTAAGTGTATTATTTAAAGGACCTCCTATTAATGTAGCTTTGAATAATTAAATCTTAAATAAGAAGAACACATATTTAAACAAAAATCTACTGACCTTAACTTTATTGCATTCCATTTTACTAGTGAGAGAAAACATTTATTATAATAGCCATTAAGCTATTGTCTTTTTGAACAAGTCCTATTCTCTAGCTAGCTACCCAGAAGAATCCATTAACATCCACTGCTGGTTATATAACAGGCATTATGCCCAGTGCTTAGGGGGCATTATCTCATTTTTTTGAAGTACAAAACAAAGTTCATGGATGTCATAAAAATTTTTGATATATAAAAAGAAATGAATAAAGATTGTTGTTCTGATCTCTTCTGCCTTCTTCTCACTGCTGCCCTTCCCTACAGGTTAGCCTAGAGGGACATTAGGGGTTGCATCAATTCACAGATGTGTGGCTATGTGTACATAGTATGTGAACACAAACATGTACTACATATATATACATATATATGAAACACATGATACTATATCTAAGTGGTTTTACTCCTTTTTAAATTGGATCATCTCTTATCTTCTACCAACTATATAAATATCATTTATCTTAATAGCCTTCCTGTGTTCTATATTTAGAATATGATATTTAAGTTTCTATATCACTAGGTATTATGTATGTCCAGGTTTCTGCTTCATAAACACCTGTCTGTGTAGATGTTCATGTTGATGGTATTGGAAGTACTGGTTAACACTGCATATAAACCATATAGCTCCACTTAGCATTTCTCAGGGAATGACATAGTCATGGATGCAGCAGGAGCTGCTAACCTTCCTCTCATCTCTGCGCAGTACTGCTACTTGATAACCACATATCACCCCTGTATACCAGCACATCTCTCTTTGGAGATAAAGGACTGTCCTTCACAACTTTGGTGCCTTCAATGATTTCAGTATCCATGATGAAATTTCAACCTCCAACCCCAAATCTACCCCTAAGCATCAAATTTAGAACCATGCCTGTCTCATTGGCCTAATTTGCAACAGATGTGGATTTATCTTCCAAACTTGCATTTATTTCTCTGTGCAGCTGCCCAGGCTCTCTCCTGGGACATCCTGTCATATCTTCCTTTTCCTGGATTTCCCTTTTCCTAATAGTGTCTGACAATAGGTGTTTATAAACATTCTGAAAATGAATCATCAGTGAGCATCATCATTTGATAATTCAGTTACAAAATGGCAACAGGTACAAAATGGCCCATTTGTAACGTAATGATTTGTATTATAAGAACATATATCCTAGAACTACCTTTGCTAGGAATTAGTATTCAGATTTTGAGACTATTTCTATTGATCTCTGTACAATTGCTTTTTTCTCCTCATCTAGACCATGCTGTACACTGAAAACAATCATTAAAGTCATGCAATGGAATGCTAACGTATATACAATCAGCCCTTTGTTAAGCTCTTGATAGACAATTCTTACTAAAGTATTACAACAGTACATTCACTTTAAGGGTAAGTTGTATTTTCTTTACTACAATGGCTCATTGGATACTTAAAATATTTTCTGTTGTACTTTTGGAATGCTTGTGCTGAATCATATTCCATTGTGTTTAAATTCCCCACTGTGGATGGCTTCTATTGTATTTGCTTTGTCTGGAATCCATTCTATTTTTGACTTCCCCATTTTGATGATCCCATTTTGATGATCATCTTAATTACAAATCTGTGCGTATAGGTACTTTCCCCCCTCTACATTTTTTTGTCAGTCATGGGGGGTTGAACTCTGGGCTTGGGTACTGTCCCAGTGCTCTTCAGCTCAAGGTGAGCTGAGCACTCTACTGCTTGAGCCACAGCACCACTTCTGGTTTTCTGGTGGTTAATTGGAGGTAAGAGTCTCACAGACTTTCCTGCCTGGGCTGGCTTTGAACCATGATCCTCAGATCTCAGCCTCCTGAGTAGCTAGGATTACAGGCATGAGCCACCAACACCTGGATCCCTCTACATTCTTGAATATCTAAATCCAGTTGTTCTTAGTTAGATTTTCTCATTTAAATTTCTTTCAATGAGATATGACGGGTTATAATAAGAGAGAACATGCAAGAGTTCAAGGGGTGACATTGATCAAGGAGCACAGTACTTATTACTGACATGCTGAACTGCAACCCCTTACTTCAGGATAATTTAAAAGTAGGAATAAGAGAAAAGTTCTTAACATGCCACTTACTAACTATACAGCACTGTGAACATTATTAACCTTTCTGGGTACAATTTTCTAATAAGTAAAATGAGAATAATAATTATAATACTTATCTCAAAATATGCCAGAAGATAATCAAGTTCATAGATCTGAAAGATTGCTTTTGGGCAATGATGATTAATTCTTGTTACTTTCATATATGATTCATAAACTATTCTTGTTCATCTCTTGCAAAAGTTGTAAGTATCAAGTAAAATAAACTCAGGTCCATATCTAGAGTCCTTATGTATAGTTGTTCCCTACCCAGTAGGAATTGATGTCTCTGCTAGGTCCAAGAGAAATGAGTCTCAGAAGGCTAAGGTTTGGGACACTTGATACCTGCTGGGCAAATATTAAGGGGATCCGAGTTCCTATAATCCTATACCCTATAATCCTATTATCCTAGCTACTGAGGAGGCTGAGATTTGAGGATTGTGGTTGAAAACCAGTCCTTGGCAGGCAAGTCCTTTCAGACCCTTATCTCTGATTAAGCAGAAAACAAAAACAAAATAAAGTGGATCAAGTGGTAGAGTGATAGTCTTGAGTAAAAATCGCTCGGGGACAGGGCTCAGGCTGAGTTCAAGCCCCAAAGACTGTCATAAAGGGGGGGGGGGAGAGAGAGAGACAGAGAGAGAGAGACAGAGAGAGAGGGGGGGAGGGAGAGGGGGAGGGAGAGAAAGAGAGCTTTTCATGAAGCATTGTAGATGTTATTGAGAGGGATGTAAAACAGGCTCTGTTGGAGGCATGGATATCAGCTGGAGGGGTGGGGGGTAAATGGAGAAGGTGAAAAAGGCAGAATATGGTCAGAGTACTTCATATGCATATATGAGAAGAACAATGAAACCTGTCAGAACTGTTTTAAGAAGGGGAAAAGGGAATAAGGGAAAGTGATACAGGATTTGAGGTAGATGGTGTAAGTTGTATATCTGTATGGATAATGTGCAAATAATGTATGCTAACTTTAAATAATTAAAAAAGTAGTCATTTTATACACAGGAACTTGATAAATTATACAAGA